GCCAGTCACTCCGGCCCCGCGCCGCCCCGCCGCGGCCCCAGAGAGAAGCCGTACGCGTGTTGCCCAGATTCCTGACTCACGAAATATGTCAGTATAATAAAACGACTGTTTCGATGCCACGGAGCTCCGGGGTGGTGTGTTTGGCAGCCCAGTAACTGGAACAGCCTTCTCTCCCAGCCTTGAACTTGAACCAGATGGGATGGGGGAAAACTGCACACACGGCTGAACCCAGAGCTCCCATTCCGTCCTCCGTATTATTTTTAACGGAACCCTGAACTGAACGGAAGGGAACGCGGCTGAAATGGAAACTGAACTTGTCTATTTGTTCAAGGCTATGGACCTAGCGTATTCAAATATTCTCGCGACGGCATCACACCCCTTCGCTCTGTGTACTATTACTTGCCTGAGGTCACAGGCTCCTGGCCGAGCGGAGAGATTCATACTCTTTATACACAGCCGGCGATGACCCTCTCCGTCCTCCTTCGCTTCCCTGGTCAAGGTTCGCTGAGGGAGGGATTGAATTGCCCCAGGAGACGTGACTTTCCCACCATCCCAGGACAGGGAGTCCAGCCTGACCCGGATTCCTTGGGGGTCCCTGAGTGGAAGATTTGTGTCCCTGGCTGAGATGCTGGAACTTTCCATGAAGGTCAGCGATCCTCACATCGGAGCAGCCCGGCTGGGGTGTGTCAGGATCCAGGTGGCCTCCATCTCGTCTGGAGCAGGCCGGCACAGTCTGCGGCAAGGGGGGCGGGGCGCCGAGGAAACTTGGGGCCCCTGGGAGACGTTCATCTTTCCAGAGCTTTATCATTTTTTCCATAACACCACCCTCCCTGAAGGTGGAAAGTCCCAGCTGTCAGCTGAGGATACTCTCAATGTGCTTTTGTTCTCCGCCCTGCCCCCAGCCCAGGCAGCAGGGTGCTGGCGGAGGACGCCTCCCTCTGTATACCAGGCTGCTCCAGACTCGCTGTCCCGGCAGACAGCGCAATAACACCACGGGACTAGACTTCTCTGGTTCAGATCTTGGCTCTGCTGTTGGCTAACTGTGCAATCTTGGCAGGGTACCGAGCTTTTCCATGCTATGGTTTCTCTGTCTGAAAACTGGCATGGGGATAATATTGACCAGTTTTAAAAAAATAATTTTTTATTGATTTTGGAGAGGAAGAGAGATAGAGAGATCTAAGATGAGAGAATCATTGATCGGCTGCACACCCCCTACTGGGGATCATGCCAGCAACCCCATCATGTGCCCTGACCGGGAATAAGAACTGTGACCTCCTGGCTCATAGGTTCAACCACTGAGTCACTGCAGCTGGGCTAGACTGACCAGTTTTGAGGATTTAATATATGAAAAGCACTTAGCACAGCACCTGATACATAATAAGAGTTATATAATTGTTTGCTCTTATTATTACACTAGAGCACATGTGTCAAACACAAGGCCCGCGGGCCAAATCCGTCCCGCCAGGCCTTGCAATGTGGCCCGCACCGCGCTGTCATCACTGCACTCCGCTGCGTTTCCATCACAATGACAGTTTATGACTGTTCAGTAAACCATTCGGCCCGCGATTTAGGCTGGATTTTAGATTTTGGCCCCTTCTCTGATTGAGTTCGACACCCCTAGTTTAGTGGATTAATTAGCTGATCGGTAAAATGGCCCTTCCAATCCTGACCTCTCTGATTCTAGGAGTCTGTGAATAAGGTATGGGCGGGAAAGCATGTGAGAAAACCACAATATTCCTCCTAGGGACATGGCCAATGATAGTCTAGAATAGGGGTGTCGAACTCAATCAGAGAAGGGGCCAAAATCTAAAATCCAGCCTAAATCGTGGGCCGAATGGTTTACTGAACAGTCATAAACTGTCATTGTGATGGAAACGCAGCGGAGTGCAGTGATGACAGCGCGGTGCGGGCCACATTGCAAGGCCTGGTGGGACGGATTTGGCCCTCGGGCCTTGTGTTTGACACATGTGCACTAAACAAATATTCACCGATTGCCTGTCATGAGCCAGGTACTGCTGCAGGTGCTCCAGAGAGAGCAGTGTTGAGGGCCCTGCCCTCATGGGGCCTTCGTGCCTGTGGGGGAGGCAGACAGTAAACCTGAGTACATGAATATGTAATACAAGTTCCGATTCAATCTCTTTATTTTATGTGTGGGGAAACCTAGGCTCAAGAGGGGAAGACATTTTCCTAAAGTTCTCCAGTGTCATAGCAGGAAAAGGTCTCCAAGCAAGTCTTCGCAGTCTGAGAATACCCTGCCCTCAACAAACCCTGGTTTCCCCAAGGTCTTATTATATAACTGGAGGCCTCATGCACAAATTTGTGCACCAGTGGGGTCCCTCAGCCTGGCCTGTGGGGATCAGGCCGAAACCGGCTCTCTGACATCCCCCAAGGGATCTTGGATTGTGAGAGGGCGCAGGTCAGGCGGAGGGAGGCCACCAGTGAACAACTGGGGCCAGGGAGGGTCCGAGGGAGAGCTCTAGGGTGTGTCCAGCCTGTCTCACCCAGTCCTGATCAGCAGGACCCCAGCAATAAGCTGACCTACTGGTCAGGGCGTCTGCCTCCTGGTGGTCAGTGCACATCGCAGAGACTGGTCAAATGGTCGAAAGTTCAGAGGGACAATTAGCATATTAGGCATATATATATTTATAGCAGGAACCAACATTTACTGAATCTTCCTAGCTGTGGGAACTGCTTTAAGTACTTTACACACCATAAGTCATTTAATCCTCACATCAACTCTGAGGGGAGGAATTGTCATGAGTCCTATTTTATAGGTGGGGAAACTAAAGCACACAGATGTGTAGGAGAGTAGGGTTTGAACACAGACCCCCTGGTTCAGGGTCCTTGACCTCAAACATGGTGCTGGCTGCATACTATCCACCCCCACCCTACATTGGTCTGCGCTATTTCTTCCTTTCTTCCTCTCCCCCCACCCCCTCCGGTCTCAATGATTTCTTTCACCCCGGGAGCCCCAGGTAAGCCCTCTCCCTCTCTGGCCCTCAGTTGCCCCACCTATGAGTTGAGTGGATTGGACTGGATTGTCTTTAGCGCCCTCTATGATCATCCTGACTTTTAGCTCCTTCTAAGTTTGTAATTATTTTGTTCCCTTGTTTTCCATCTGCTTCCTTCCACCCCTGTCTCTGAGCTCCAGGAACAGTGCCCTACTCATTCTAGTCCTTGCCATCTGGCACTGTGTCCTGCACTTAGCAGGCCCTTGGTAAATAAGTACTAGTGGATGAAGAAAAGGATGAGAGGAGAGTCCTCAGTTTTCTCAGAAATAGCTCCTGTGCTCTCTCCCTGGCCCCTCCTCCTTTCTCAGCCTGTGGGGCCCCAACCCTCCCTCTCTTCTGCCCTCCCTCCTTCTCACCTCCCAGGGCCGACTCAGGCCCTCCATCCGGCCTGCATTTTTCCGGGTTTGATATCATTTTTTCCACTCTCCCGGCTGCTGCCGGCTGCCTCTGCCAACTTTCCACAACTTCAGCCCCTCCCCCATGACCACAGGCTGGGGACAGCTTGGATGGGGGAAGACCCTCCTCCCTTCCCTTCCCCAGGCTGGAGTTGGGACAGGGAAATCAGTGCCATCGGTGCCTGGCTGGCAGGCTGGCAAGGTGGTCGGGTGTGTGTGGGGGTGAGAGCTACAGCTGGAGGCTATGGCCGGCCTGCCCCTGTGTTACTCTTCCTTGGCACCCTGTTCCTGGAGGCACGGACAGGGCCCACGTGGGCGGGGGAGGGGCTGAGGCATCTGGAAGGGCAGCTGTTTGGGGCAAGTGGTGTTGGGAATCAGGGACACGTAGTCCAAACTGTTTATATCTTGTTCTCTTTTCAAATTAGTGACACCCCTTCACCTTAAGCTGGAAACTCCTGACCTAAGCCCAAGACCCCATCCCCAGCCAGAGGCACAGCCAGAGGAGAAGGCTGAGCTCTGGGGTCTCGTCCTCACCCTCCCTGGCGGGGTGACTGGGGTGCTCACGTCCCCTCTCTGGGCTTCAGTTTCTACAATCTGAAAAATGAGTGAGTTGGACTAAATTGGGGGTCCCTCCTGGGGATAAGTGGACTGAGTTTCATGGAGTCTACTCCCCTTCCTTCCTTAAATTGTTTGCAAAATTGTGTTTGAAAGTCCATTTCCCGAGGGCTCTATAGCTTTTAAAAAATATATATTTTATTGATTTTTTAAAAAAATATATATTTTTATTGATTTCAGAGAGGAAGGGAGAGGGCGAGAGAGATAGAAATATCAATGATGAGAGAGAATCATTGATTGGCTGCCTCCTGCACCCCCTCCTCCCCCCCGTGGGGATCGAGCCTATAACCTGGGCATTTGCCCTGACTGCGAATAGAACCCGTGACCGCTTGGTTCCTAGGATGACACTCAACCCCTGAGCTACACCTGGCTGGCCTATTTTATTGATTTTTTACAGAGAGGAAGGGAGAGGGATAGAGAGTTAGAAACATCGATCAGCTGCCTCCTGTACACCCGCTACTGAGGATGTGCCTGCAATCAAGGTACATGCCCTTGACTGGAATTGAACCTGGGATCCTTCAGTCCACAGGCCGACGCTCCATCCACTGAGCCAAACCGGCTACAGCTCTATAGCTTTTAACACATTCTCCAAGAGGGCTGGATAATTGGGTGCCGACTCTAAACTGACAAGATGGAAGTCCTGGCCACTTCATGTACAGCAGCTGTGTGATCTTGAGCAGGAGCCTTCACTGGCCTGGGCCTCGGTTTTCTAATTACTGAACAGGGGTTGTGAAGGTTAGTGAATAGTTGTGACGTCTTGGTACACAGACAGCCCCCAACAAACACCAGCTATTGTATTGCCAGGAGGAGTGCTAAACTTCTTTCCAGATAACATTTCATGACTCTATCATCTATAAAAATGGTCTAATGAGAAACTGAGAAGTCACCACACTTGACTGTGGTTGTGCTCCAGTGTGTCTCCCTCAGAGACGGGGGCCGGGGCTGTGCCCAGCGGCTGGGAGAAGACCTGAACGCACAATACAGTTCCAATGACTTTATTGGCTGACCCCGACTCAGGCCAGCAGGTGGCCCCGTCTGGAGCCAGTGCAGATGGGAGGGCAGCAGGTGGGGATGCCCAGAGGAACCCCCATGAAGTCTGGGCATTCAGACGGGACATCCTTGTAGTCTGTGGTGTGTTTTTTGGGGGGGGCGGAGTGGGAAGACGGGGGGAGTGTTTCTGAGCCCGAGGATAAAGAAAAGTTGTTTTGTTTTGTTTTTTACAAAAAGACGCAAATCGTGTAAAAAAAAAAAAATCCCCTACTGTGTGCCGAGCTTGGCCTTCGGGCCCCATAGTCTGTACATCCATCGCTCCCCGTGGCCAAGGCGCCCCTGCAGCTGCGGCTCCGGGAGATGCTCTGGCCCACGGCGCGCGCTCCAGGTCTCTGCGCCTTGGCCCTCGGGGGGAGGGGGCCCTCACTCGGTGGCGTGGGCAGAGCGTGTGCCCCCTAGTGTTCACCGCCCTGGGCGGCGGGGCTCAGAGCACAGCCAGGTTGTGGCAGGACTTGGAGCGGGCCTTGAGCGCGCGGCGGCGGGCGCTGCGGGCCGTCAGGCGGGCCAGGAAGCGCCGCGCGCGCTGCCCGAAGCTGGCCCGCCGGCGGGGTGCGGGGGGCTCCCTGGGGCCCTCCCGGCGGCGCAGGCGCAGCTGGCGCACCACGCCCTCGAACAGCTCGGCCACGTTGTGCTGCAGGGCGGCCGAGGTCTCGATGAACTTGCAGTCGAACACCACGGCGCAGGCGCGTCCCTCTGGGCGGCGGGGACGGACAGACGGACAGGACAGACGGGCAGGCGTGGAGCAGGAGGAGGAGGAGATAAAGGGAGGAAGCGGATGTTCAGTCTGGACTGGGAGCGGTTTTTTTTTCTTTCCCAAAACATGGTGCCAGGGCACCCCCAGACAGAAGTCAGATCTGGCTTGGAGGAGGTAGTTCCCAGGCTAGTAGGAGCTGATCCTGGTGGCAGAATGGGGCTGGGAAGACAGGGGGGCTGGGGCTAGGTAGGGAAGAGTCTTGAATGCCAGGTAAGGAGTCTGATCTGATCTGAGAATGATCGGGGGAGAGATTCCGGTGCAGTAGGTTGGGGATGTGCTCTGGGAACCTGCATTTTAACAGAATCTCCTGGGATGGTGCTGCGGAGTTTGAGGTCTGCTCACAAAGCATTTGGCATTCTCTCTCCAGGATGCCCCTGGGCTGGAAGGCAGGGACCTGAGTTCCAGTCCTCAGCGGCTGGTGACCCAGTGGAACTAGCTTCTTCTCTCTGGGTCTTAGATTCCATAGTTGTTGTTTTTTTAAGATTGCTCCCTGTGAGTAGGGCCATTTTTAGATCTTTATGAGTCCCATCGGATATGTCAAACATTAATACATTCCCCACCTCACTTTAAATACTATTTATATGTATCAGTAACTTACACGTTTTGGTTTGCAGTTGCTGGATGGCACGTTGTCATGTTTTATAGACAATTCAAGCTTTCTGAATTTTGAATCTATAAATTCTCGCTCTATTTTGCAGCTGATAAATGGAATTTTCAGGTCTCAATGGCTGAAAAGCCTGTAGAACTAGGCCTATCAGGCCTGGGGGATAAAATGTCTCTGACGAAGGACATGGGAGCGCAAACGGGAATTTTTAAGCAAAGAAGTGACAAGGTCAGATCTGGTTCTGGGAAGCTGTGGCAGCTGTTGAGGAGAACTGACTAAGTGGGGATATAGAATTAGCGTGGGGGCTGTCCCAGGCTGATGTGGGAAATAGTGAAATTGAGGGGATGGGGTGAAGGGACGGTGGGGTTAAGGGAGGATTTCGGGACTGGTTTGGGGGAGTGTGAGAGGACACAGGCATGGTCCCTAGCCTTCAGGCAGGGGCAAAGAGATGCAGAATGGGGGTGGTAGGTGGCAGGCAGTCCCTGAGATGAAGACACCGGAGGAGGAACAGTGACCGTGGGGCTGAGAGGAGTGGGGAGGAGGAGGCTGGACCCGAGGGCTCACCTTCCACAGAGACTTCCCGGCAGCGCGCCAGGTCCGCCTTGTTGCCCACCAGGATGATGGGCACGTGGTCCGCCTGGTGTGTGCGCCTCAGCTGAATGCGGAGCTCAGAGGCGCTCTCGAAGCTGCCCCTGTCTGCGATGGAGTACACGATGACGTAGGCGCTGCCCACCTGCAGGCAGGACTCCTGGCTCCAGCTCTCATCCTGCAGGGGAGGGACCGGCCCATCCTCAGAGGTTACTAGGCCTCGGCTGAGAAAGGAAGGGGCTGGGATGGTTTAATGGGTGGGATGGAGCTAAGGTTTACACCGGCTGCCCCAGCCGGTTTGCTGTTTAGCTGTCCTGGCTTTGCCTGTTTAGTGGATTCAGGCATATCAGACAGCTCATTTGGTCTTCTGCAGTCTCCTCAAAAGAGAAAAGAGGAAGGGAGAGAAGTGAGAATGGAGGCTGATTTCAAGGGAAGACATTTTCAAGACGGTTCTAAAGAGATGAAGGAGCAACTGTGGGGTGTCAGGATAGGGGGTGGGAGAGGCACAGGTCATTTTAGAAAGTGGAGTACTTGCAAGTTTTTTGACCAAGGAAAGGGAAGAACTGGGATGATTTTGATACTCCATGTTGGAAGGTGATCTGTTGTCAGGGACAGCACTCGGACTGGACCACCTGGGTAACAGCTTTATAAGACACAGTTCTTGGCCTCCAAAGGCTCCTGGTCTGGGAGGGAGGCTGTGGAAATGGAGAGTGATAATGCACCGTGGGAAGTACCCATGTGAAAGTAGCTGGAGAAGCCATGGGGGTGCGGGAAGGAGGCCAGGAGAACTCTACCTGGCGGGGCGTGGGAGGTTCACCGTGGACCTGTGAGTGGGATTTGAAAAGATGAGCAGGTGGACCAGGAGAGAAGTGAGAGGGTCAGGAGTCGGAAATATTGAGTGTGATGGAAGAATTGTGTGTGAGGGGGAAAGAAGCCAGAAAACTTATCTGATAACCAAGTAAGACAGATGAATAGAAAAGCATCAGTTCCATTGTCAACAGCACTGTCAAAGGGGGTGAGTTTTCAAGAGCCCCTCAATCTTTCCTCAGGTCAAATAACAGTGGGCCGAGCCAGACAGTTGTAGGTGCTCATTCTGGATTTTCAGCCTTGACTATGGACAGGCCCCTGCCTCTCTCCGGGTCTCAGTTTTCTCATCTGTTGAATGAGATGGTGAGTCTTGACCATTCATTCATTCACTGCACAAATATTTATGAAGAATGGGTAGGATCACAAAAGCCAGTTGCTGCATGGATTGGTGGGTAAGAATCCCTTGGGATGTGATTTTAAAATAGAGATTCCAGGATTCTACTTATACACGTTCTTATTCGTGAGGTCTGGGGTGAGGCCTGAGGATTTGGTTTTTAATTCTCTCCAGGTGACCCTGATGGTTAGATACTAGTGAGTGAGCACGCTACTGGGTGAGCCAAAGGTCCACCCAGTCCTCTCGGATTCTGCCTCTCTGACTAGCCCAGTGATGGAAGGAATGGAAGCTGCTACAGTATTGGCCCTGTTTGGGAGCTGCCTTCACGGTCACTGACCAGGGACACTGGTTCAGTTATTTTATTTCACCTGTAGGAAAACCAAGGGCCAGAGAAGAGAAAACTTTCTCGTGGCCAAGCAGAGCGCTGGGCACAGAATCCCAGTCCCTGCTTCTAGGCCAGTACTCTTCCTCCTCCGTCTCCCAAATGGAACTTCCACGCTGATCACTCTTAATCCACGGGACTCTGCCCCATCGGATCCTCAAAGGAGCCTCTCCCTGACCAGCATCCAAAATAACAGCCCCTCCCTTAGCAGCCTGTGAGCTCCATGGGGCCGAAAACATGCCTGCCTTATTCACTGCTGGGTCTCCAGTGTCCTGGCCCATGATATATACTCAAAAGTGCTTTTGCTTATTTTGCTTTTTTGTTTGTTTGTTTTGTTTTTATCCTTACCCGAGGATATTTTTCCATTGATTTTAGAGAGAGTGGAAGAGCGAGGGAAAGAGAGAGACATACTGATGTGAGGGAAACACATAGTTGGTTGCCTCCTGCACGTGCCCTTGACCAGAATCAAACCGGGGACCCTTTGGTCCACAGGCTGGTGCTCTATCCACTGAACCAAACCAGCTGGGACAGCAAGTGTTTCCCAACGAACAAATGGGTGAACCTCAGCGGGAGTTTCAGAAGGTGACGCTCCCTGGGGAGGAGAGGGGCCCTCCTAGGGCACAGAAGTGCAGGCTGTGGGTTCCTACAGACCTGGGATTGAATCCCACTTGCTGAGAGCTTTGGGCATATTACTTAGCCTCTCCGAGCTCCCAATTCCTCATCGAGGAATAGGGCTCAGAAGCACACGCACTGTATAATTTTTGTCTTGGCTGAATGTCATACTACCGGTATATGTCCAATTTTTATCACAGGGGCTGACACTTAGGAAGAGGGTGCTACGTAAATGCCAGCTGCTGTCAAGAGCATCATCATCATCATCATTATGTTCATTTGGACCCGGGTTTCCTTTTATGCTTGTTAAGAAGAATCGGCTACACAGCTCCTTCATCCCCGGCCTTCGGGCTTGTCACTGGAGCTGTCAGCCATGTTTGTCAATCACCCAGCACTGCCTTCCTAACCCCCCTGTGGCCAGGCCCTCCCCGAGTTTTAGGGGAGGAACCTACTCCTTAGAGAGATGGAATCTCAGGTGATTTTTTAGATCCTTCTCTTTGCTTGGTTGTATTTCTTCAGAATTCTGTGGTGAGCATGTCCTATTTGTACAGCAAGAAAAACAGAAAACTCAAACAAGATAAGAAAAACATAACAGGGACATGGCCCTGCCTGCTGCTCTCTTCCTGCTCGAGAAGGGGCTGGGGAAGGACACCCTTTGGTCTCTCTTTCCCCTAGCTACTAAATTGTAATGAGCAAGAGTTGTCATTATTTATGATTCTTCACCCATGTTCATGCTCAAAACTGCTCAAGTCTCTGAAGCTGCATAAGAACTTAAAGAAAACAAACGGTAAAGAAGGCAGGAATGATCAACCCATTTATCAGGTGAGAAAACTGAAGCTCAGAGCAGGTTAAGTCAACTGCACAAAGCTACACAACGGGTAAAAAAAAGAAAGGGGGCCTTGGCCAATTCGGCTCAGTGGATGGAGCTTTGGCCTGCGGACTGGGGATTCCTGGATTCGGTCTGGTCAAGGGCATGTGCCTTGATTGCGGGCACATCCCCAGTGGGGAGTGTGCAGAAGGCAGCTGGTCGATGTTTCTCTCTCATCGATGTTTCTACTCTCTATCCCTCTCCCTTCCTCTCTGTAGAGAACCAATGAAGTATATATTGGGAAGGAAAAGGAAAAAAAAAGGGGGGGGGGGTTTGAACCTCAGACATTTTGATGCTAAATTCAGTGCTCCTTCCTCTGCACAAGGTAGGTGGGTGGGGTGGGATGAGGGGCTAAAAGGAGGGGGCGGCTTGCAGGGGAAGAGGCACTCCCTGGCATGGCTGCGGGAGGGGACCAGCGGAGTGAGAACAGGAGGTGAAGGTCAGGAGGGTCTGTCTTTGGTTGGAAAGGCTGCTGAGGAGCTGTGGGTGTTGGAGGGTCTGGTACGAGGCTCAGCACCCATCTCCTCAGCACCCATCGTGTGCCATACCAGTTTCTCAGCCTCCCAGGTGTCCATGACCAGCAGGGTGGTGTCTTCGCCATCCACGGTGAGCGTCCTCTCGTACACGTCCTCTGTAATGGAGGGAAGAGCTGGGTCTCAGTGCGGGCCTGGGGAGGATGTGGCTCCCAGCCCCTCTTTATGGTCACTGCACCCCCTCTACTTCTCCTTGAAGTGTTCACCACACCCGTGTGATGCCTGCTTCTCCTGATAGGTCAGAAGCTCTGGGAGGAGGAGCCCATTTCTCCCATGCTGCCAGCAGAGTATGAGGCACACAGTAGGTACTGAGACAGCGATGGTGGTGGTTGTTATTGCCAACTGAACGGGTGTGGGGTGGTGGGGTTAAAGTTGGGATGAGAATTCTCCAGTCCTGCTCTGTCCCTGGCTTACTGTGTCCTTCAGGCAGGTCATGTCATCCTCTCTGGGCCTCAGTCTCCCCATTTGTCACACCTACAGGTGCACATATGCACACCACTCGCACGGGTTCTCACTCTTAGAGAGGCAGAGCCTGGATTAAGGGCCTGGCTAGAGTGTCCCCGCCTTCTCTCTGCTTTTAACTAACTCCCCACCCCCTCACCCTCGTCCTCTCAGCCAGTCCTGCAAACACCTATCTTCGTTTCCTCTGGCCTTTCCCCATCCCCCATCATCCTAGGGCACCTGCTCACTGCATCTCCTGGGAATACAGGTGCCCAGGGCCCAGAACTGGGCATCCAGGAGTCTCCGTTTTGGGCAGGATTTTAGTTTTGCCACAGGGTGTGGTGGCCATGGGTTGTTATCTGTGGAGCTGGGTGATCCGAGAGTCCGGGGAGAGCTGGGGCTAGGGGTTTCTAAGCGAGGTGGAAGCCCACCATCTCTTTATACTGAGTCTCAAGCCCACATCTCTCACCCATGAACGCTGGCAACATTCTCACTATTCAAGGAATCCCTCTCCCACAGCCACGGTGCAGGCTGTGCCCTGCGAGACTCTTGGGGCACATTCCCATCATGGTCTGTGAGTGACGCCCTAGGAGCGGAGCAGCGCCTGAGTTGGACAGCCTTGTGCCCTCCATCCCGCCTCTGGCCGCATCCCAGCCCGTGTCCCTACCTCCCAGCTGTTCGTGGAGCTCCCGCTCCTGCTTCCCTGCGAAGAGGCTGGCCAGGCTGGTCTTCCCCACGCCGGGGTCCCCCAGCAGCACCACGCGGTACAGGGCCTCCCAGGAGCCTTCGGAGTCGCTGGAGTCAGAGGACCAGCCGTCGGGGGCAGGCTTAGGTCGCTGGGTGGGAGGGTTGAGGGAGGCCGACTGGCCCAGCGGGGGGTGCCCGGATGGTGTGGAGGTGGAAGGTGCCGCGCTCAGGCCAGGCTGGCGGCCCCGGGGGGACAGGGGCAGCGGGGTGCTGGCTCGCCGTCGCAGGGGCGTCTTGGCTTCCTGCTGGGTGTTTAGTGTCATCCTCGGGAGGGGGCCTTCCTCCTTCTGTGAGCGAGAAGGGCAGTGGGCGGTGAGCAGGAGCTGCGGGCCCCCTCTGCAGGGCCCTGAGGCGGCTTCCTCTGAGCCCTCTGGTCCAAAGGGGAGGAGCGGAGGCCTCCCTCCTTGGGGGAGGGAGGAGGTGGGGGCTTTCCGGCTTCAGGACCAGGGTCTGCCTGGGAGGGGGAGGTGCAAGCTGTGCACATCCGTGTATGCACGCCCAGAGGGTGAGGTAGCAAGCTGTGCACACACATGTCCGCACACCCAGAGGGAGACTGTGCAAGCTGTGCACATCCGTGTATGCACGCCCAGAGGGTAAGTGTGCAAGCTGTGCACACACACACACACACACGTACACACACCCAGAGGGTGAGGTTGCAAGCTGTGCACACACATGTCCGCACACCCAGAGGGAGAGTGTGCAAGCTGTGCACATCCGTGTATGCACACCCAGAGGGTGAATGTGCAAGCTGTGCACACACATACACGAACACACACACACGTACACACACCCAGAGGGTGAGGTTGCAAGCTGTGCACACACGTGTACACACACCCAGAGGCCGGTTCCTGTGCCTTGAGGATGATCCCCTCCCCCAGGACACTCGGACAGCGGAGGGGCAGCGGCGAGGTGGTGTCCACATGAGCACGTACACTCTGTGGACAGAGACCTGCCTCTCCCACTCAGGACACGAGACTCAAGGTCTGAAAGGGTATGCACTGCCCGGGGCGCCCCTTCCCATAGGCCTCTCCCCCGCGGGGGGTAGGTTGGGGGGTGAGGAGGAGGGGTCAGGGCCCCGGGGAGGGGTCACTTCCGCTGCCCCGCCTCAAGGGGGCCGCGGAGGAGGCGGGGGTGGGTGGGCTGGGACTGGGAGCGCACGGGGGTCTGGGGGTTCCCTCCGCGGTAACCCGAGCGCCCCGGCGCCATGGGAACGCGTGCCGGCCCGCCCCCTCCGTGAAAAATTCAGCAGCCGCTGGGCTGGCGCTGCCTCCGGGGCTGTTGGGGGGCGGGGGCTCCGGGGCTGCGGGGTTCCAGGATCGGGCCGGGACAGGGTCCTGGCGGGGCGGAGAGGGGACCTCCAGGGCCGGGGTGCATGTGCCATTCCCCGAGTCCCCACTTGCCCAGCTCCGGGCCCTGGTGGTGAGTCCCCTGACCCGGGCGGGGGGGCGGGGGTGTTCTGGTCCGGGGCTCCCCAGCCCTCTGGGCCCCGGTTGGAAGGTTCCTCACCCCTGGGGTGCGAGTTCGAGGCCCCCCGCGCCCCGCCGGCCCGCAGAGCCCCCCATGCAGGCGCCGGCGCACTCCGCTCCAACTTGGCCAAGTTGGCGGCGGGCCGGCGGCCTTACCTGGGCTCCGGGAGGGGTCCGGGGCCCCCGGCCCGCGGCTGCCGGGCGCTCCAGGCTGTCCCTCCGCCTCGGCGCAGCCCCTCCGGCCCGGCCCGCCCGCCGCCCCGCGGGGAGGAGCCGCCACCCGCCCCGTCCGCCCCGCCCCGCGGGACAGCCCGGGTCCGCCCCGAGCCCGCCGCCCAGGGAGCCACCCGGGTCAGCGGCCGCCTCCCGCCTTGGTCCGGGGCGGGCGCGGCAGGGCCGGGGCGGGGGGCCGGAGAGAGGAAGGAAGCGGGTCTGGGTCCTCGGGGCACCCACAGCTTCCCACGCCTGCCATGGGGCGCCCCGACAGCCTGGGTCCTTACAAACTCCACTCGGGGAGCTGGTTGGAGGTTCGGAACCCCAGGCCCCACCCGGGCAGATTCCGCAGTGCGGGAGGGGTCCGGGGTCTGCGTTTTAAACAGGCGCCCCAGTGATCCCGGTGCAGGGCGCGGACTCCGCTCCCAGAGGCTCCGCTTTGCACGAGGAGAGTGAATGTGGGAAGGCGGCGCGGGGCGGAGGGGCGTCCGGGAAGCCCCGCACCGGGGAGATCTGAATGTCTCACTGTGGCAGCATTCACTCCTCACTCACTCACTCCCCAATTCTGGGTGAAGCGCGCTAGGAAGCCAGGGCTGCCCTGACCCTGGAAGCATGGCCTCCACTCCCCCATCCATATTCACTGAGCACCGGTGCCCGGCTGGTCTGAGCAGCTGCAGACCTGGGTCCGCCTGGCTCAGCGGGGAGGGAGAGTGTGCACCTTATGTTATCCTCTGCCTGGGTTCGTGGCTCATCTAATCCCCACGCAACACTGAGGAGGAACATGCCCAGGCTCACCTGGGCCCGCGCCTCAGGAGCCTCTCAGCCTTCTTCTTTTTCCTATCTCGGGTCCATAGCTTTTTAAATTTAATTAAATTTTATTTTTTTAATTGATTTTTTTTTACAGAGAGGAAGAGAGAGGGGTAGAGAGTTAGAAACATTGATGAGAAAGAAACATCGACCAGCGGCCTCCTTCACAACCCCCACTGGGGATGTGCCTGCAACCCAGGTACATGCCCTTGACCTGAATCGAACCCAGGACCTTTCAGTCTGCAGGCTGACGCTCTATCCACTGAGCCAAACCGGTTTCGGCTCGGGTCCATAGCTTTAAAAAAAATCTTTTCTTTCCCAGGCATGTAGGCGGAGGATAGAGACACCGTGGTCTTGGTTATAGAGGAGACCTTGGCTGTGGGGAAGGGAGTTCGGCCACCCCCGGGCCAGGATCTGAGCTCCTGGGGAGGGTGCTTCCGCGTAGGTGAGGAGGGACGGGAACAGGTATGTGTGTGAGGCCGGGGACGGGCTGTACCTGTGGGTGGGGCGCGTGGTCCTGGCTGAAGGGGTCCAAGTGTCCGGCTCAGGACAACACCCACAGCGGCGGGGCCTTCACGCCCGGCTTCCTTCTGTGGTCTGGCCCTCTGGGCTCTCCTTCCCCACCTACCAGATGGGCTGGGAGTGGTGCAGCCATACGTTGTCTGGGAGTGAGGCAAGTGTGAGTCCCAGCTCCACTCTGTTCTTTGGATTTGGTTTCTTTCTTTCTTTTTTCAAATTCTCGCCGGAGGTGAGGATGGAAGGTGGGGAGGCCCTCACCCAAGGATATTCTTTTCCATTGATTTCCAGAGAGACTGGAAGGGAGGGAGGAGGGAGAGAGAGAGAAAAACATCAACGTGAGAGAGACACATTGATTGGTTGCCTCCCACAGGTGGAGCTGGGGGACCCGCAAGTGCATGCCCTTGACTGGAATCGAACCCTCTAACTCTTTGCCTGTGCTCTAACCACTGAGCAACCCGCCAGGGCTGGATTTCTGTTTCTTTATTTAAAACTCTAATCTGCAAGTATTTGGTAACAGAAGATGATCTGACTTTGGGTGGTAGATACACAATGCAATATACAGGTTATGTATCATAGAAATGTATACTTGAAGCTTATATGACCCTATTAACCAATGTCACACCAATAAATTTAATAAAATAAATAAATAAATTAAAGCCCTAGCTGTTTTTTGCTCAGTGGATAGAGTGTCAGCCTTCGGACTGAGTCGTCCCTGATTCAATTCTAGCAAAGGACACATGCCTGTTTTGCGGGCTCCATCCCCACTAGGGGGCGTGCAGGAGGCAGCCGATCAAGGATTCTCTTTCATCATTGATGTTTCTATCACGTTCTCCTTCTCTCTTTCTCTCTGAAACCAATAAAACAAATATAATAAATAAATTAAAAAAATAAAGGGAAAAAATAAAACCGAAATCCAAACAGGTTACACTTTGCTATAAAACTTGCAGTGGTCTACAATAGAAAAGCCTGAACTGGCTGTTCCAGGCCCATTGTAACTAAAAGCAGGGCAAGGGGTTAGTGTGGTGGTGCAGGTGGGGTGGTGGGAGAGGTGAAAGGTCTCGAAAAAGTTAAAAAAAAATTTTTTTATTTCAAATGTACATGACAGTGAGAGAATAATACAAGATACGACTCGAGCTTTTAAAAACCATTGTATAATGGACAAATGGAAACATGCAAACATACAGAACAATGTAATGTTGTGAGTTTTAAAAAGAAGCTGTCCTTTCAGGGTCATTTCTAGTCTCCTCTCAACAAACTCCTTGCTCTGGCCATGCCCCACACTTCAGGCACATCATGTCTCTTCTGCCTGGAATACTTTCCTCTCCTCATCTTTCAAGATGCAACTCAGATGCCTGTGTCCCAGACGCTGTTCTGAGCCCTGTACACATACGATCTATCTCCGGGGTTCTCAGACGTTAGCAATATGCTCGGATCAGTCGGAGGGCTTCTTACGCCACAGCTTGCTGAGACCCACTCCCGAGCTTTTGATTCAGTAGGTTTGGGGAGAGATTGAGAATTTTCACTTTTAACAAGCCCCAGGTGTTTCCTGCTGCTCTCTTGCGTGTCTGGGTGCCACACTTTGTGTTGTTATTATTTTAAATATATTTTTATTAATTTCAGAGAGGAAGGGAGAGGGAGACAAAGAGAGAGATAGAAACATTACTACTGAGAATCATTGATTGACTGCCTTTTGGAAGCCCCATACTGGGGATTGAGCCTGCAACCTGGTCATGTGCCCTGACCGGGAATCGAACTGTGACTTCCTGGTTCATAGGTTGATGCTCAACCATTGAGCCACACCAGCCAGGCCACACTTTGTATTATTTTGTTTAATCTTCTAAATCACATGTGTCAAACACAAGGCCCGCGGGCCAAATCCGTCCCGCCAGGCCTTGCAATGTGGCCCGCACCGCGCTGTCATCACTGCACTCCGCTGCGTTTCCATCACAATGACAGTTTATGACTGTTCAGTAAACCATTTGGCCCGCGATTTAGGCTGGATTTTAGATTTTGGCCCCTTCTCTGATTGAGTTCGACACCCCTATTCTAAATGAGTTAGGTAACAATGACTCTGTCTGGGGGGAGCTATTAGTCTTCTCATTTCCTGCATGGGCCTGAGTGCATGCTGTTTGGACAGCTCAGGGGGTTCTGCTTTCACCTCCTTGGCTTCCGGAAGGGACTGCTCCCTGCAGTTAGCTTTGCATGGGGGCTTGTGATCTTTCCTAGATGATAGCCCGGGGCTCAGAGAGGCTGAGTGCCTTGTCCAAGGTGTCACAGCAGTTAGAGGGAGTCGCTGGCATTGAAGCAGGTCTCTGAAGCCAAGGCTCCCCCTCCCCCTCAGTGGGGAAGCTGTCCAGTTTCTGACCCCAGACATTGCTTCAGGAAATTCTGTCCCCAGTGTCAGAGCTCAGCAACCTCTGGCAGGTGTGTCCAGCCAGTTCCCCACGTCGCTGGCGGAGGTCCAGCTGCATCCTGAGACCACAGGCCTCAGACGCCCACGTACGTCTCCCGCGGCCCACACTCTGACCTTGATCTGCAACTGAATAAAGGCTGGGCCCCGGCAGCCGGGCTGGGTGGGCTGGCTCCTCTCCTCCGTGTTCTCTCCCCAGGGGCCTCCCCGCAGCCTGTGGCCATGACACAGCTGCTGCTGCTCATCGTGTTTCTCCTGGTCCTGGGCCACGTGCCTCCAGGTAACATCGTGTGTGTGTGTGTGTGTGTGTGTGTGTGTGTGTGTATGTGTAGAAACAAGGAGTAGGTTCTCAGCTCCTGGGGAGCAAAGGGGACCTGGACTAGTGTTTAAATTCTGGTCCCATCACTGGCTTTCTGGGCAGCTTAGAGTGGGCTGTTAGATCAGCCTGCACCTCAGTTTCCTAATCTTTAAAATGAGATTCACTCAACAAATGTTCATTTGAAAAGTATTTACTATGTGCCAGGTTCAATCCCCACTAGGGGGCGTGCAGGAGGCTGTGGATCCAGTAGTGAGAGAAAGCATGGAGTTGATATGTTAGTTAGTGGAGACAGGAAATGACCAAAGAAGCATGTACTGTTTCAGGTGGTCATAAGGGCTAAGAAGGGGTTAGTGTGGTGTGTGCATGGGGTGGTGGAAGAGCTGAAAGGTCTCTGATATGTTACTCTTTTTAGCTTTTAGTTCAAATGTAACTGAAATAATAAAATCAGGAGCACGTGAGCTTTACAGAACCTTTTATTATGAAAAAATGTAAACACGCAAAAATAGAGAATGATGTAATGATGTGAGTTTAAAAAGAAATCCTTTTGAGAAAAATTCAAACCTAAGTCTAAAAACATGGTCTAGAAAACTCCCCGTATCCATTACCCAACCTCAACAATTATCAACTTGAACCAACCCTGTTTTGTTGTTCACTTGCCCCTTCTGCCCAGTGAATTATTTTGAAGTAAATTTCAGATCTCTTATCATTTTAGATAAGGTGGGTTTGAGCAATGATCTGACTACAGTGAGAACACAGCAGGCTTCTGATGAACGTTGTTTGGTTATAAGGCTGATGAAGTGCTTGTATATATCAATTAGCCTGTGGTAAACTTGGGGTCTTTATACATTTCATTTAAAGTCACAGAACCTATTGATGATGTTAAGTGAGGACTTACTATATAAGGATGATCGTCCCAGACAGAGGGAGCAGCAAGGATGAAGGAGGCAGGAGGGCAATAGATGATAGGTAGGTAGGTACCATATATATATATATATATATATATATATATATATATATATATATATATATGGAGAGAGAGAGAGAGAGAGAGACAGAGAGAGAGAGAGAGAGAGAGAGAGAGAGAGAGAGAGAGAGAGAGAGAGAGAGAGAGAGGTTTCAGGAGCAGTGAGGAGGCCAGTGTAGCTGGAGTGGGAGCACAAGAAGAAAAGCGAAGGGAGATGAAGTCAAAGGAAGAAATAGCAGATCATGTCGGAGAAAATAGCGGCTGTATATATTTTCTCCTACATGATCTGGAAGGTTGGAAGGTTGAAAGGTGATGATGTGTTAACAGTAGTTGTTGTAGGAACTGCCTTCAGCTGGCAGTCAGGGTCTTGGGTTCTGGTACCAGCCCCACCACTTACTGGGTCAGGAAAGTTGGGCAAGTCACTTCCTTCTTTATCTGTAAAATGAGAGGGTTGGCCTAGAATGAGCCTTGGTTGCTTGAACTCGCTCAGCTGCCATTCTGATAAGCTCACTTGCCATTTACTGAGTATTCACTGCCTGCCAGCCACTGTGCTAAAACGACCAAAGCCCCATCACTGCCCTCTGAGGGGGATGCACAGATGAGGAGTCTGAGGCCCAGGCCCCGCGGCTGGGAAATGGCAGAGCTGGAATTTGGACCCAGAAGGTCTGAGCTGGGTGCACACCACACCGTTAAGCAGCACAGCACAGATCCTCTTCGGCGTGTGGGTTCTCTGCCTCACGGAGATTTTGAGATCAGCGCTGCATCATTCTAGGTTCTCTACCTTGGCAGAGAAAGGATGGGCTGGTCGACAGGGCCGAATGACACCCGTGGGTGTCGTGGGAGGATTCTGTGGAATCTCTTGTCACTCAGGGAGCGGCACTTCTCCCCTCCCCCTCCCATTCAGCCCCAGTTCTTCTGATGTGTAGAAATATCGCGGTAACAGGCAGGCCTTGTGGGAGTGGTCCTCCTCCCTTCCCACTCTCCCACACCCACCCTGATTGGCAATTCGGCACCCATGGCTTCCCAGCGGGCCCTAACCACCTCTCCGCCGGTGCCTCCTGTTCGCTGACTGAATAAAGGCAGGTGCTTCCCCGCCCGCTGCTGTGACCAAAGACCCTCGGAGAGGAGAGGGCACGGGTCCCAGTCCCCCAAAGCCTCGCCCTCTTTGGAAACTCCTTCACTGAATTTTAATATTAAACAGGTCCGTAAGTGTGTGAGGCAGGTAGTGTTAAAGGCTATGCGTTTGGATTCTGGAGCCAGATGGCCTGAGTTTGAATCCTCGCTCTGCTCCTTCATGGCCGTGTAACCGTGGGAAAAGCTGTGCATCTTTCTGTGCCTCAGTTTCCTTAACTGTATAACAGGGGCTGTTATACAGTTAAGGAAAGACCAACTACAATAATACAGTGTTACTTTGAAAAGTGCTTAAAGTATACGTGGGGTGTGGATTAATCTGGACAAGAAATTGGTCTCTAACTTATAACCAGCAGCCTAACTTGTGACCTGTGGGCTAAGCTGAACTGAGATCTGTGATCTAAATTGTAACTGTAGTTGTCTCTGGTAGTCTAGCCCAGTGGTCGGCAAACTGCGGCTCGCAAGCCACATGCGGTTCTTTGGCCCCTTGAGATTTTAGCAAAGGCCAGCTTAGGAGCACCTTAATTAAGTTAATAACAATGTACCTGCCTATATAGTTTAAGTTTAAAAAATGTGGCTCTCAAAAGAAATTTCAATCGTTGTACTGTTGATATTTGGCTCTGTTGACTAATGAGTTTGCCGACCACTGGTCTAGCCTGTTATCTCTAGTCTAACCCTTGACCTGTGGTCAGAGCTCATGTACTGTGGCCTAACTTATGACGTGTAGGCTGCACTGCGGCCAGTCATCTAACAAATGAGTAGAAAGCGAACTGGTAACTTATTATTATTTTTAAAAAATATATATTTTATTGATTTTGTACAGAGAGGAAGGGAGAGAGATAGAGAGTTAGAAACATCGATGAGAGTCATCATCCATCAGCTGCCTCTTGCACACCCCCTACTGGGGATGTGCCCGCAACCACGGTACATGCCCTTGACCGGAATCGAACCCAGGACCTTTCAGTTCCCAAGCCGACGCTCTATCCATCGAGCCAAACCGGTTTCGGCCGAACTGGTAACTTACGATCTAACCTGAGCCCTGTGGACTCATTGTGGTCAGTGGCCTCACCTGTGACCCCGGGCTCTTCTGTGACCTGTGGCCTTCCTCTTCGCAGGGAGAAGTGAGTTCAAGCGGTGCTGGAACGGCCAAGGAGCCTGCCGGACCTACTGCACCCGGCACGAAACCTTCATGCACCTGTGCCCGGACGCCTCCCTGTGCTGCATCCCCTATGGCGTTAAGCCTGCGGCGGCCCACAAGCCATAAAACGTGGAGCTGGTTCTGGGGCCGGCACACTCGCTCTTCATAAAACACGTGCTGCCGTTGTGTCCTCTTGCTGCTTGCTCACCGCCCTCTGCCCCCACCTCCTCCGGGGCTGGGGAGGGCAGCGCGGGGCGGTCCATGATGTAGAAGAGATGGTGGTGGATGCCCATTGGAAATGGTGCTGGTCTTGCCTGTATCACATTCCCTCTGTCCAACTTGGGGGAAAAATTGCTCAATTTCTCTCAGCCTCCCCAGTCTTCTTGTCCATAAAGTGGGGATAATTATAATATAAGGAAATGAGAACTTTATAGAAGGACTGCAAGAAGAAAGGTAGAGTTCGTAATAGGAGTTCATTGAAATGATCACAAGAACTAACAAGAACGTGAGTTAATTATAATAAAATTTAATAGTAGAGTTAAAACCACATTTGTGGCATGCAGAACGAGGTGGTGCAGTAGGCTTGACTGGTAGATCCTACTGGGAGTGAAAGGACTTTTCTATGTTCCTTTATCTCCCGTCTTAGCATTTTAAGAGCCTGCCCAAGTAGGAAATAAGGATTTTATGAGAGCAGCGTTTTCACAGAAACAGGAGGAGAGATAGAAAAAAATGCTGCCCTCCCAGGCCCAGGGAACTGTGGGGACAGCAAGTCGGGGAGAAGCCAGGAGCCGAGTCGGGGAGGTGGGTGGGCAGACACGCATTCTAACCTTCCCGTGTCAGGATTGTGTTTGGCTGAGAAAACAGAAAAGCTAATTTTCAGGAACTTCTTTTTCTCACGTAAAAAATCTGGAGGACGAGAAGCCCAGGCTGGGTGGCTCCATTGGTTGAAGCGCTGTCCCTACACCAAAAGGTTGAAGGTTCAATTCTCAGTACTGGAGGCAATGGAGAGATGTTTCTTTCTCTCTGTGTTCGTTCTCGTTCTCTCTCTCTCCTCTCCTCTCCTCGTCCTCTCTCCCTCGTCCTCTCTCTCCCGCTCCCTCTCTCCCTCTCTCCCTCTCCACTCTCTCCTCTCCTCTCTCTCCCTCTCTCTCCTCCTCTCTCACCCTCGCTCCCTCTCTCCCTCTCTCCTCTCCTCTCCCTCTCCTCTCTCTCTCCTCTCTGCTCCCTCCCTCCCTCTCTCTCCTCCTCTCTTCTCTCTTCTCTCTCCTCTCTCTCCTCTCCCTCCTCCTCCCTTTCCTCTCTCCTCTCTTTTTCTCCTCCTCCCTCCTTCTCTCCCTCTCCTCCTTCCTCTCTCCTCTCTCTTCTCCTCCTCCCTCCTCTCCTCTTCCCTTTCCTCTCTCCTCTCCTTTATCTCCTCCCTCCTCTCCTCCGTCCCTTTTCCTCTCGCTTTCCTCTCCTCCTCTCTTTCTCTCCTCCTCCACTCTCCTCCTCCCTTTCCTCTCTCTCCTCTCTTTCTCCCTCCGCTCCTCCTCTCTCTTCTCTCTTCTCTCCTCCTCCCTCCTCCTCCCTTTCCTCTCTCCTCTCTTTTCTCTCCTCTCTTTTCTCTCCTCCTCCCTTTCCTCTCTCCTCTCTTTTCTCTCCTCCCTCCCTCTCCTCCTCCCTTTCCTCTCTGCTCTCTTTCTCTCCTCCCTCCCTCTCCTCCTCCCTCTCCTCTCTCCTCTCTTTCTCTCCTCCCTCCCTCTCCTCCTCCCTCTCCTCTCTCTAAAACATGCCCTCACATGAGGATTAAAAATAAAATCTGGAGGTAGGTAGCAACCATGTCAAAGCAAGCATCTCCGGGACACCCTCGGGCCACATAACTTCATGCCTCATATTGTTTAGCTTTAAAGCAAGCAGTTGGGGGAGGGTTGGCACGGAGTAGTTTCTCACCTTTATCAGGAAAACAAAAACTTGCCCTGGAAGCTCCCTCGCAGACTTCTCCTTACCGTTCACGGGCCAGTCCGGGTCACAGGCTGCTCCTGACGTGGGGAAGGCCAGGAAGAAAGGGTTTAGCTGTTCCAGCAGAGACTTCAGCCTGGGAGGGAAGGCAGTTGAAGGACCCTCAGTGTTGGCCCATCTTCACCCTGAGATGGAGCCCAGAAGGGGGCACAGGGATGGGATAAGTTGAGGGGAAGCCCAAGGGCGGAGAGGCTGTTGGAGAGGCTGTTGTCCACTGTCCTCTGAGACGTTTCAGAGAAGCCCGGGGTAGAGGTGGACCCTGTGTGACCAGGCTGCATGAGGAGCAGGTGCGGGGGAATTCAAAATACCTCACATGAGACCATCCAAAGGGCTGCTGAGCAGAGTCTTGGAGGCGACCTGCTGTGCCAGGTGTGAACCCTGTAGTTCCTGGAATGGGAGGGACCTGGGGTTATGCCAGAGGCAGCCGGAGTGGAGGAGGAGACACCGCATCTATCCCAGCGGGAGTGTTCCGTTAACCTAATCACAGTGCGCGCCTGCGTCCCAGTCCTGCTCTCCAACCTCCCTTAGGTTCTGAAGACGTTGACCTGGGAGCCACGAGGCCTGTTTCAGGACCCAACCCTGAGGGGGCAAGGTGGTCATGGTCAAAGGTGGTCAACGCCTAGAAACAGGACAAGATCAGGACCCCAGAGACAACCACAGTGTCACGGAGAGCTGCTCTCTCCACCAGGCCTCAGGCGTCCGCAGGAGGCCAGACCAGCTCACCAGTAACCAGCATCGCCGAAAGCCAGTGACTGGCTCAAGCCACCTAGGTCCCAGCAGATGCCAGCTGCACCCAACCACTGAATCTTCCCACCCTGACCAGCCTTCACATTGGGAGGAGCAGAGGGAGGAGAGGAGGCATCTGAAAGACAGAGCAATCAGAGACCAAATTTCTCCAAACTCAAGAAACCTCAAGAGAATATTTAAATTGTTGAATTAGACCAAGTTTTCAGCTGGGTTGAACTAAATTTAGCTCTGCACCCTGACCCTTCCCTCTCCGTTGTTTCACAGAGAGTGAGGAAGCTAGGTTTCTTTGCACAGTCTCAGGTGCAGTTTGAGGGAAGCTGTGACTTGTTGCAGAGAAGATGGTGGTGATTTCTGGGAGAGAAGAGTCAGACAGACTCAAGTTCAGACTCCGGCTCTGCCATGCACAGGCCACAGGCAGTGTGATCAGGGCAAGTCCCTTCCTGTGTCTGATGTCAGGATTCTTCTCTACAAAATGGGCTCAATGACAGCTCTTAATGAGGCAGCTGAGGGGTCAGAGGGGGTCATCCAGCACTTTGTAAGTGTCCAGGGAAAGAAAAGCTACAACGCTACCACTTCTGCTGAGCGAGAGGAGTGAGGTAGCCTTTTTCTCCACATAATTTCAGACTTACAGGAAATCTGTAAGAATAGTCTAAGGAATTCCCATGGACCCTTCACCCAGTTTTTCAAATACTGAAAAATATCGGCCTGGCCGGCATGGCTCAGTGGCTGAGTGTTGACCTATGAGCCAGGAGGTCACGATTCTATTCTTGGTCAGGGCACATGCTGGGATTGTGGGCTCCATCCCCATTAAGGGCTGGGCAGAAGGCAGCCAATCAGTGATTCTCTCTCATCATTGATGTTTTTACCTCTCCTTCTCCTTTTCTCTCTCTGAAATCAATAAAAATATATGTTAAAACACACACACACATACACACAAACTAAAATTGACTTTCACCTTACCATTTCTCTTGCTCTTTTTTTCTGCTTACTTTATTGTACGAATACGGTATATAACACATATAACATTTAAGAAAGTGTTAATCGACTGTTTACATTTTAGTAAGACTTCTGGTGAACAGTAGTTAAGTTTGGGAGGGAGTGAAAAGTTATATTCAAAATTTTTATTGAAAAATTTACTGTATGTGCACATATATATATATTTTAAACTTATAAACTAGTGTGTATGTATGTGCATGTATAATATATCCATATGATTATAGGTATCTATATATTTGATATAGCTTTATTATATATAGATATCTTTCTATGGACATATTGAATATGTATAATTTATATAAATCTATGTGCATTTTTCACACGCATTGAGATTCTCCTGGTGGAGTTGAGGTTAGCAGAGCTTCTCATTCTGCTGATCAGGCGGCTCCCTTGGGCTTACAGGAAAAGAACAAGGGAGTTACAGCGATGGCTCTTGTAGGCGGTCAGGCACGACATGGTGGCTCCTCACTCTCTTCCCCACTCGGGTTGTTGTTTTTTGTTTTTGGTTAATCTCACCGGAGGATATTTTCCCCCCCTTTTTTTTTTTTTCTTTCTTTTTTTTTTTTTTTTGAGAGAGTGGAAGGGAGGAAGGAAGAGGGAGAGACAGAGAAACCTCAGTGTGAAAGAGACACATCAATTTGTTGCCTCCTGCATGCTCAGATCCAACTGCAACCCAGGTACATGCCCTTGGCAGGATTCAAACCAAAGACTCTTCTGAGCTGGGGCCGGGGGGCTGGGGTGCCCTAACCACTGGGCACACTGGCTAGGGCCCCACTTGAGATTTTGATGGCAGAGTGTTGAGTGGAATTGTTCATTTTACCAGCATTACCAGTACATTTGTGTTTGAGAGCCAGGTGACAATCACATATAACTCAAATTGCCCTTGGAAAACACTCAGAAGTGTGCCTTTATGGAGACTGACAAAGCAAGTTTTTCTCGGTCAATGGAACACATTAAAGCAAAGGAACTGATTGGTTATGTTTAGGGGCCATTTTTACAAAAAATAAATATCTCTCCACAGTGGGATCCCACAATGCATGTGATGCCTTCATTGCCAGGTGCTTGTGCTGCAACCGAAACCGAGACAATTCTCTTCTCCACTCAGGCGCTGGCTTCCTTTGGCTTCTTTGGACTGTGGTTGTGCATATTTGCTATCTATCTATTTATCATCTATCATCTGTCATCTATCTATCATCTATCTATCTATCTATCTATCTACCTACCTATCTATCTATCTACCTATCTATTATCTATCTATCTATTTATCTATCTATCTATCTATCTATCTAACAAAGGACTCATTTTTAGAATGTATGAAGAACTCATAATCAGTAAGAAAAAGACAGCTCAATAATAGAGTGGGCAAATATTTGATCAGACATTTAAAAAAAGGAGGTATCTGAGTAGCAAATAAGCCCATGAAAAGATTCTCAAAATTATTAGTGTTCAGGGAAGAGCAAATTAAAACCACAGTGGGATGCCAGTGCACACCTACTGGAATGATTAAAACGAAAAGCAAGGCTGCTCACGGCAAGTCCTGCTGAGGATGCGGAGCAGCTGGGACGCAGACACATTGCGATGGGAAGGTGACGCGGACAGCCACTTTGGAAAAGCAGTTGCAGAGTTACTTACAAAATTAAATAGAAACATGCACATGTAAGTATTTCTCTATGAATGCTTATAGCAGCTTTATTTATAATGTCCCATATCTGGAAACAACTCAAAGATCCGATAAGTAAGTGGATACATTGAGTTACATCCATACGATACAATCCTATTCAATAAACAGTAATAATTTACTGATACATGCATGAATTAATCTCATCCTGCAGATCACAGGTCAAATGCCACCTCCTCAGAGAGAGGGTTACCCTGAGAGCTTTCTCATAATCCCCCACCCCTGTTCTCAATTATTATACTTTTTTTTTTTTTTAAATCAGTCTTTATTGTTCATATTATTACAAAGGTTCCTCATTTCTTCCCCCCTCCACCAGGTTCCCACCCACCCTCCGCCCCCTCCCCATTCCCCATTGTCCTCATCCATAGGTGCAGTTTATGTTCAGTCTCTTCCTCCCTCCCTTTCCCCGATAGTAAATCCCTTTTCAGATAGTAAATCAGTTACTTAGCATTTTCTCATATCAATAATACCTCCACATGCCCAAAGATACACTTCACACAAAAGACATTTCCAAATAGGTCAACCAGCCTCATCCAGGCCCCACCCAAGGCACTCACAGATCAACACCCCAGCCCTATACTAACTCAACACATCCAGATCTAAGCCTTCATCACTTGATTCAGCAGACCCTTAAGTTCCCACAAAAGTTTCCAGCCATGTCTGAGAGGCAGCCGTGGGGCAGGGGCAGGCGAGGAGCGAGCTGTTTCGGGCCTGGCTGCTCCGGGCCTGGCCTCTGTTGCTCTGGTTCGTTCCACAACCAGCTGCTCCGGGTCTGGTCACTGCCGCTCCCGACCCAGCTTCTCCGGGCCTGGCCGCTCCTAGCCTGGCAGCTGCTGTTCCGGGCCTGGCCGTTCCCGACCTGGCTGCTCCTGGCCTGGCCGCTCCCAGCCTGGCAGCCTCTGCTCTGGGCCTGGCCACACCAGACCAGGCTGCTCCGGGCCTGGCCGCACCAGACCCGGCTGCTCAAGGCCTGGCCGCTCCCAGCCTGGCAGCCGCTGCTCTGGGCCTGGCAGCACCCGACCCAGCTGCTCTGGGCCCGGCTGTCCCGGGCCCGGCCGCTCCGAGTCTGGCCGCTCCCAGCCTGGATGCTCCGGGCTTGGCTACTGCTGTTCTGGGCCTGGCTGCTCCCAACCTGTCTGCTCTGGGCCCAGCTGCTCTGGGCCCGGCTGCTCTGGGCCCGGCTTCTCCGGGCCCGGCCACTCTGGGTCTGGGTGTTCCTGGTCTGGCCACCCTGGGCTTGGCTGCCTCTGCCTCAGGCCTGGCTGCCACTGCCCCAGGTCTGGCTGCTCCAGTGCTGGCTGTTGTTGCTCTGGTTCTGGCTGCTGCTGCTCTGGGGCCTGGCCGTTGCTGCTCCGGGCCCGGTTGCCATTGCTTTGTGCCTGGGCACTCTAGGCCTGGCCGCCACTGTTCCAACATTCTGTCCTTTTTTTTTTTTTAAACGCATTTATGTTGCAATGTTGGCTGGTGAGTTGAGTTCTGACTTAGTCATTGATTTTTCAAGATCTTCTTTGTATTCTTTCTTAAGTAATTTTACTATCTTTTGCTCTCACTTGATTTCTTCACATTGAGAACTTCTTTGGTTTCTTCCTCCTTGTCCTGGGAGCTCAGCAGGTTGGCCTGTGGCGCCCCTTTGTTCTCTGCGGGCTCCCGCGCTGCTCCAGCCTGTTGCCGGGGTCGGTGCCGCCCAGGAAGCAGCCCCCGGCCTTGGCTCCATTGCCCGCGCTCAGAGGTCGAAGGCTCAAGGGCACCCCTCCCCCTGGGGGCCCCGTCGCCCGACTCCCTGCCGAAGCCCGGCTGGCCGGTGTCCGGTAGTGGCTCCTGCTCCCTGTCGCATTCCTCCAGTCTGGAGCTTTTTTTTCTCCTTCCCGCTAGGGGGTCTAGGATCAGAGTCCACAGACTGTCCTCTGCGCGCAGTGCGCGCGACTCTGGGGGCTCCGCTTTTTGCCACTCCCCTGGGATTCCGCCTCACAGCCCCGTCTCCCCCTGCCCGAGCCTGGGTCCCCAGGGTCTGGTCCAGGACTGGGGTTCAGAGCAGTCGAAACTGGGGCCCAACACGGCCGGGGCTCCTGTTTCCTTCCCTCCAGGGCAATCCCGCATCAGAGTCAACATTCCTTCCATTGCAAGCAATGTGCGCGAGTCCAGGGGCTCGGCCTTTTGCCGCTCTCCCAGGACTCCACCTCACAGCCCCGTCTCCCTCTGCTTGAGCCTGGGTCCCCAGGAATTGGCCCAGAACTGGGGTTCAGAGCAGTCCGGACTGAGGCTCAGCGCCGCCAGAGGCCCTGTTCCTTCCGGCTAGGGTAATCCAGCATCAGAGTCAACATTCAGTCATCTGCGCGCAATGTGCGCGAGACTCCGGGGGCCCTGCTTTTGGCTGCTCCCCTGGGATTCCGCCTCACAGCCCCGTCTCCCCCTGCCGGAGCCTGGGTCCCCAGGGTCTGGCCCATAACTGGGGCTCAGTGCTGCCGGTTCGGGGGTTCAGCCCAGGCTGGGGGTTTTATTTCCTTCCTGCTAGGGAACGCCGGGCAGCACCCAGCCCTCTCCTCCTCTCCAGCTGTGACCTCTCCGCGTGCGTGCGTGTGAGCGCGCAGCATGTCTCCGTACCTTAGGCTTTTTTTCAGCTCCTCTGATTTTCCTTCTGGTTTTCTCTTTCCTTCTTGTAGAATTTTCAGTCAGTCGACTACCTGTAGCTCTGGGCGATGTCCACTCTACATTTTAGTTGTATTCCATTGAAATTGTTGTGTGCTGCTGCGGTTAGGTGTCTACCCGAGCAGCCATCTTGGATCCTCCCCAATTATTATACTCTTCATATTATATTATTATACTCTTTCATATTGTATGTGATTATGAAAGTATTTCTTTTGTTATTTTAAAAAATATTTTATTGGTTTCAGAGAGGAAGGGAGAGAGAGAGATCAATGATGAGAGAGAAAAATTGATTGGCTGCTTCCTGCATGCACCCTACTGGGGATTGAGCCTGCAACCTGGGCATATGTCCTTAACTGGAATGGAACTGTGATTTCTAGGTTCATGAGTCAACACTCAACCACTGAGCCATGCTGGTTGCACTGAAATGATTTCTTGCTTAATGCTCCCCCCCCCCCCCCCCCCCCCCCCCAGTTTGTAGACTCTCTACAACGGCAAAACCCATGTTTGTTTTATTTAATACTAGAGGCCCGATGCACAAAGTTTATGCACTCAGGGGTTGGAGGGTTCCATCAGCCCAGCCTGCACCGTCTCACAGTCCAGGAACCCTCGGGGGATGTCCCACTGACGGCTTAGGCCTGCTCCCCATGGAGAGTGAGCCTAAGCTGGCAGTTCGATCTCCTTAGTGCTGCTACAGTAGTGAGAGAGGCTCCCACCACCACCACTGCACTTGCCAGCCATGAGCCCAGCTTCTGGCTGAGTGGCATTTCCCCTGTGGGAGTGCACTGACCACCAGGGGCAGGCAGCTCCTGCATTAAGCATCTGCCCACTGGTGGTCAGTGTGCATCATAGTGACTGGTTGTTCTGAAGCTTTGTCAATTTACATATTAGCCTTTTATTATATAGGATATACAGGATTGTATAACTAGAGACTAGTATGGTGCCTGTCAAATAGCTGATAAACAGATATTTGTACATGACTAAATGAATAAATGAATATATGTTTTTCAGGAATTATGGTTCAGTAGATCTAAAACATGGTAAAAAAAAATTCGTGCATTGATTACGGATGGGGATATGTTCTGAGAAATGTATTGTTAGATGATTTCATCGTTGTCCAATTATTACAGAGTGAATTTATGGTTATTATGGTTAGAACCTATGGTACATTGGACTTCATAGGAAACTGCCCCATTGTTTGCAAGTGGTGGTACCAGTTCACACTCCCACCGGCAGCATATGGGAGTTCCAGTGGTTAATACTTGTTTCTCCACAACAATTGCTGTGTTCAATTGCTTTAAATTTAGACATTCTGATATGTGTGCAGTAATATTATATTGTAATTTTAATCTGCATTTCTCCAATATTTATAAATTTCCATGTTTTTATCTGTTATACATAGCTTTTTTTGTGAAGTGTCAGTTCAATGCTTATTTTGTTACTGGGTTGTTTGCTTTTTTAAAAAAATTTGAATCTTGAGAGTTCTTTACATATTTTTTTGGGGAAAATCCTATATAGGATGTATAATTTTCAAAAATTTTCTTTTCTAGGCCTTTTTGACTGATTGAGCTTTTTCATTTTTTTTTTTCTGATCTTACAATTCTTAAGGCACTTAGTGTTCATAACTTTTATCTCTCTTTTTAAAAAAGCCTTATTTTTATATATTGAGAACACAAAAATACTTAAAAAATATAAAAGTATAAAAACAATAATAATATCTCTATCTCTACCAACCTGATTAAAAAAACAGAATATCAGCATCACTTCTTCTAATTTCTATATTCTTAGAGTTAGCCATTAACTTACATTTGTGCTTTATTGATAGTTTTGTTATCTATGTCTATGTCTCTAACAAAATTATTTGCTTATATGTGCACAATTTTGATTAAATTCTGGGGGAAATTAAAAAAAAGATTTTGGTTTGAATTTATGATTCAATTGGTATAAACATTGACATCTCTAAGATATCAAGTTTTCTAATTCATGAACATGGTATACCTCTCTATTAATTTAGGCTTTCTATAAAGGCTTCTAATTTTCTGCATAAAATTTTGAACATCTTTTTGTAAGGTTTGAGGCGCAGGAAACGGGAGTCAGGGACCAAGGGATGTTAAAGGAGGAAGTTTATTCCGCACTAATGAGCAAGATTCATTATAGAGGAGGAGGGTAGAAAGACCAGGATTAGAGGAGAAGGAATAGGAGGGACCTAGCCGAACTGCCTCTGCAGACTGGAGAGGCAGCAACCCCTGCAGAGGTGAAGACGCCTTTTAAAGGGAGGAACAGGAAGGGGTTGGGCCCAGGGCACTCGGCACACGCTGATTGGTGGTTCAATGTCTCAGGGATGTCCCGCGCAGATGCCGGTTATGTCATAACTCCATCCACCAGTTGTGGGGAGGGAGGATCTATGGCTTTTGTTTGAAATATTAACAGGTATTGTGATACAGGGAAGGGGCAAGGTAAACTGATGGGCTAACACAGGAATTAGCCGGAGGTGTTTATTGATAGAATTCAGGAATCCTTAGGGTTCAAACTCAGAATAGCATCATGTGCATTTTTATGGCTTTAGGCTTCAGAGAACTCAGAATAACCAGGGCTGTTGTTTTGGCTGATACTTGGGCTTCACACAGCACGGTTTATTATTTGTGCAGTAAACATAGATCTTTTCTTTCTTGAAGCACGTGCTGCGGCATTTGCCAAGAAGATTCCAGCATTTTTGGGTGCCACCTGACACGAAAAATGAGAGAAGAATGGAAACAACGTCAGTCCTAAGAAGAGATCGGGTCTGGATTTGAACTGTTTATAAAAAGGATTAAAACAGATGTGATAGGAGACCCTCAGTTTCCCCTGCTGCCCTTTCTCTTTTCTTCTTTCCTTTCCTTTAAAAAAATTATGGTAAAGTACAAATAATATAAATTGTACCAGTTTAAGCATTTTAAACTGTACAGTTCAGGGGCATTAAGTAAATTCACAATGTTGAACAACCACCATCACCATCTAGTTCCAGAACTTTCAAAATCATCCCAAACAGAAACCCTGCATCTATGTATGCTTATTTCCCCTCCTCCCAGCCCTGGGCAATCACCTCATATTTCACCTCGGCAAGCCAGACTGATGGTGACCTATCAGCAAGCTAGGATCCAAGGCTTCCCCACTATTGGCCTGCTGGTCGACCTACGACATAGAGACAACTAATTTGAGAAAAGTAGGGGCAAGAGAATCTTTTGCTATAAATACCCAGATTGGTCTGGACAAACGGCCAGCATTCCTTGCCCAGTTATCACTAACAAACTGGACACAGCACTTCATGGCGCCACCTGGAGGAGGATTAGAAGTGGCCGAGCATCTCCCTCTGCTTTCCTGCGGCATAAGATAGACCAGAAGGTCCCTAATGCTCCGTGTCTCTGGTTAGGAAAACCAGAGAGAAGCTAAGAGCCTGTGGGTCTTATCAGGAGTAGACCTCTACGCTTAAGGCAGTGGGAAGGGGTGTGAACAGACTAAACCTGGGGGCCAGATGGAAGATTTGGCTGATAAAGGGCTGAGCCAGAGGGGCTCTGCCAGGATTGAGATTGTATCAGCCATGGGATCCTGTAGCAAGTGCCAGCAGGACACTCTCTGACCATAAATCAGGAAGGACATCCTCCTAAAAGCCAGTGAAGGTTCAGCCTAGGGCCCTAACCCAATTCCTTATGCTCCTGACAAAGGGCCTTTGCACCCCCAGATTGATTGTTCTACCCCACAAATCCACACGGCTTATCCCTTATCCTCCCTCAGGTCACAATGAGCCAGTCCATGAGCACACCTTTAAAATGGCAAATCCACTCCTCTCATATTTGCTATCCCCCTTTCTTGTCTATTCTGTTCATTATATTAATATTCATCATTTGAAATTCCATGTTTCATTTAGTTACATTTTTTTTTTTCTGTCTCCCTCAATAGAATGTAAGCTCCAGGAGGACAGAGATTTTGCTTATCTTGCTTTGTTCTGATTGGTTCACTGCTCTTTCTCTTGAACCTATCACATTGCCTGGAACATCAACTCTATCCAACCACGTTAACTGAATGAACCACTGAATGAAATCATGATATATCAAATTACTGTCTCTTAAACCCAATTCTATTCTAGGAAGAAAAAGGGAATAAGAAAAGAGAAATGCTAAAAGACTGAATATTTACTCAGAGGGACAGAATGAATTTGGTAACCAGTTTAAGCCAGAAAGGCTGAATATTTAACTGCTGAGTTTAGGCAGAACTCCTATGGTCCATCTCTTTCCCAACTGTCCCACCAGCATGATGGCAGATCCAGGGGGAATTCAGATAAGTTACACAAAATAGAGAAGCTACATGCTTTTGACACCAAAATTTCAGTGTGTTCATCGCTGTTCCCTCAACCTGGCATTGCTACACAGGCATGATTGCAACAGTTCAAGAAAGGAGGACATTGCTGAAACTGGTTTGGCTCAGTGGATAGAGTGTTGGACTGGAGACTGAAGGGTCTCAGGTTCTATTGTGGTCAAGGGCCTGTACCTTGGCTGTGGGCACATCCCAGTAAGGGGTGTGCAGGGAGGCAGCTGATAAATGTTTCTAACTCTCTCTCTCCCTTCCTCTGTAAAAGAAATAAAATAAAAAAATCAATAAAATATTAAGAAAAAGAAAGAAAGAAAGAAAGAAAGAAAGAAAGAAAGAAAGAAAAAGAAAAAAGAAAGGAGGACAATGACACTGAGCAGCCAGGCTGCTTGCTGGGGGTCCCAGTGTGAGAAAAAGCGGGGCAGTTTCTAACCGGGTTCTGGGCTTCTCCTCTTTACCGCAGGAGAGCTGTTTCAGGCATTTTCCCACAGGCAGACACAAGGCCTGCGGTCAGCCTGTTTGAGGAAATTCACATGTTCCCACCCCTGGGAAGGTCAGAGGACAGCCTGGGGGTGGCCGTGGAGCAGGAGGGGCAGGTGGCTCGGGCTGGAGTGGGTGGAAGGGGCAAGTCTGATGATGGCCCTTCTCTTCCTCAGCCTTCCCATGGCTCCCTCCCGGCATTCCAGGCCCAGTCTCGGCTTTCCCATGCCCCCGCCCCTCACCCCCTCCTCCAGTTGTGCCAGCTTCCTAAGGCACCGTGATCTCTGTCACATCTGGACTCCGCAGAAGGTGATTTCTGCAGGGCACCTTCTCGACTGCCACCTCTTTCCCTTCCCCTTCTAACTTCTGCCCATTTTCCAGGGCGTGGGAGGAGCCCTCCGGGAGGGTTCCCCTGGCCCTCGGGCTGGTTTCCCCCCCCCGCACCCCCCCCATGGGCACCCCAGCCTCCTGGTCCCCTTTATCTCAGCTGGAGTCACTCTGGGTTGTACATGGCATCTGTCAGCGCCCCCAGGGCCAGGCCATTTACCTCTGTGACCCCGGCTCCCCACACAGGCTCCGGCGCAGAGACAGCAGGAGGAAACAGGAGCTTTTCTCTCCTGTTCCGGGCTGTGACCTTGACTCAGCCAGGTTATTGTGGGGACTATTTTGCGAAAGCGTCACTACTGTCCTCTGCTCTTCCTACTTCTCTTGTCCATCCCTTCCATGGTGCTGGGCCCCCTGGCCATGCCCCCGGGCAGCAGGGATGGCGTGGCTGAGATCCGCACCTGCTGGTGACGGTGCCCTCCAGCCGGCTGACCGGGGACCTACCTGGCGGGAGCTGGGACAGGAGCAGCAGGGCAGTCACAGTCAGCAAGAGGAGCTTCATGGCTGGAAGCGGCCCAAGGTGCAGCTGCAAGTCCCGGGCGAAGGCAGAGCTGATGGGGGAGAGCTCCGGCCTCTCCGGCTGGCGCTCCCTCTGGCCAATCGGAACAGCTGCCGCCCACAGTGCCCTCAGCGCCCACGGGCACAGCCCCCGCGCCCCTGAGCTGCAGGGTGCAGCCACGCACCCAGCTGGCAGGCCGCCTTCCGTCATTCAGGTCAGCAGGGACAGCTAGGGCAACAGCAGGGCCCTGGGTCCAAGACTTGCACGCTTCCTTCCACCCAGCTCTAAAGCAAGGGGCCACGAGGGGGCGCCACCTTCACGGAATCCTCCAGATTGCATGTGAGGCTGAGCAGGATCATTGCCAGGCAGATGAGCCCAAATGGTGCTCCAGGCAGAGGAGAGTCAGTACAAAGGCGCATGTTGGTGTTAAACATGAGAGGTACGGCGTCCCTGGAGCTGAAACTGGAAGGAAAATGATAGTAAGAGATGAAGGTCCCGGCACCAGCCTGGCTGTGCCCTGGCTGGGAGGGCCCCCTGCCCTCTGAGTACTAACCACACACGAGGCCTTACCCACAGGCTCCTGCCTCTGGGCACCTGGCTGCACCCCTTCTCAGAGACCCAAGAACCAGCTATTTGGGGTTTCTCCTCTGAACTCTTAGGTTTTGCCCCGAGGACACCTGCAAACGGGAGGCTTTGCTGGCCTGGAGGTGAGAGGACGAGGACCCAAAGGCCAGGCTCACTCTGGGCAAAGTTCAGTAAGAGATTCTGTCCTCGCATTAAGCTGAGACTACAGCGGTCCATACATTGAGAGTCAGGGGGAGCCACAAGTAAACCTCAGGTGTTTTTGTTGTTGCTGATAAGCAGAACAAGACACTAGAAAAGTCACCTACAAGCTAATTTTCAAGTGTTTTTGTAGCTCAACTACAGTACCAATTGAATTGTAAAACAAAACCAAAAATCCCAAGATTTTGAGTTATGATTTTATTTGAAGATGTTCCGAGCCTGACCGGCATGGCTCAGTGGTGGAGCGTCGACCTATGAAACAAGAGGTCACGGTTCGATTCTCAGCCAGGGCACATGCCCGGGTTGTGTGCTTGATCCCCAGTAGGGGGCGGGCGGAACACTCATCATTGATGTTTCCAGCCCTACCAGTGTTGGGGGTGCAGGAGGCAGCCAATCAATGATTCTCTCTCATCATTGATATTTCTATCTCTCTCCCTCTCCCTTCCTCTCTGGCAGCTGAAATAAATAAAAATATGAAGAAAAGAGAAAATGGCTCTACTGGTTTGGCTCTGTGGATAGAGCATGGGCCTGTAGACTGAAGGGTCCTGGATTCAATTCTGGCCAAGGGCACATGTCTGGGTTGCAGGCTTGATCCCCAGTAGGGGGCGTGTGGAAAGCTCATCATTGATGTTTCAATCTCTCTCTCCCTCTCCCTTCTTCTCTGAAATCAATAAATATATATTGAGAGAGAGAGAGAGAGAGAGAGAGAGAGAGAGAGAGAGAGAGAGAGAGAGAGAAAGAGAGAGAGAATGCTTCCAAACTGGAAATGTTCCAGGCATTTGACAGAAGCAAAAGTGAATGCTCTCTAAAGGAAGGCAAGGTCATCTAGACCCCAAGAAACCACAAATCCAAGGACAATCAATAGTACATATCAAGATTATGAAGCACACAGAGAAATAAGGCACCATCAACAAGAACCATAAGAATTACACCTACAAAACTTCAGTTCTAAATTATCAGTGTCTGTGTGTGTGTGTGTGTGTGTGTGTGTGTGTGATGTTTCATATAACATTTAATCAGATTTCCAGAAGGAGAGGAGAGGAAATAGTTTCCAGGTTGTTTCAGAGAGTTAATGGTGAGAATTTTCTAGAAAATTACATAAATTCATAGATTCAGGAAGCTCAATGAATATCAAGCAGAATAAGTAAAAAGAAAACAACTTTTAGACATGTCATACTAAAACCATAGAGCACACACACATATGCAAACACACTTGATAAAAATACCTTAAAAGTAGCCAGACAGAAAAGAGAGATAATCCCTAAGAAGCAACAGTTATGCTGACAGTTGACTTTTTAAAAAATATATATTTTATTGATTTTTTTACAGAGAGGAAGGAAGAGGGATAGAGAGTTAGAAACATCGATGAGAGAGAATCATCGATCAGCTGCCTCTTGCACATCCCATATTGGGGATTTGCCTGCAACAAAGGTACATGCCCTTGACTGGAATCGAACCTGGGACCCTTCAGTCCGCAGGCTGACACTCTATCCACTGAGCCAAACCGGTTTCAGCTAAAAGGACTTTTTAAAAATATATTTTTATTGATTTCTGAGAGGAAGGGAGAGGGAGAGAGAAGAAACATTAATGAAGAGAGAGAAACATTGATTGGCTGCCTCCTGCATGCCCCACACTGGGGTTCAGTTTGCAACCCCAGCATGTGACCCGGAACCAAAATGTGACCCAGGTTCATAGGTCAATGCCCAACCACTGATTCATGCCAGCCAGGCCCTAATAGGAATTTTTAAAAATCATCTGTTGTGGGTTGAATGATATGTCCCCCTAAAACAGGCGTCTTCAAACTACGGCCCGCGGGCCACATGCGGCCCGCAGAGGAGTCTGATCCGGCCCGCCAGGTTTTTTGGGCAGTGAGAGCAGCCGAGGTGTTACAGTAGGAATTAGTAGTTCATATAGTCCGGCCCTCCAGCTCTCTGAGGGACCGTGATCTGGCCCGCACTTTAAAAAGTTTGAGGACGCCTGCCCTAAAACATATTTCAAATCCTAATCCCAAGTAATGGTAATGTGACCTATCTGGAAGTAGGATCTTACCATGTAAGAACAGGGTCTTCTATGATTCCTCATCTGTATCCATAGACCCTATCCAGAAATAGCCTGGTGTGGTGAGACCCATTCCGGGATCCTGGGGAGAATACTAATGGAGAGAATATTAAGGCTTTATAATAACCAGAGCAAATCTCTATGCACTGACTACTCAGGGAGCAGGCCCAGGGTGGGATTGTGGTTTGCAAATGCCATATAGCATATTGGATGTCAGGAACAAGGGGAGTCCTCTGGCCCCAGTGTGTAAAGAGAGCTGGAGCCTGCTGAGGCACCTTGAGAATCCTTAGGTGTAAACTCAATTAGCCTGTGTTGGTGGCAAATTCTGTGCCTTTTCAGCATCCAGGGAACCATAGCGTACAGCCCATCTGTTCAATCTGCTCACTGGTGCAGTTAAAGCCCAGAGAGGGAAAGTGACTTTCCTAAGGCCACACAGCAAGTGAGCGGCACAGCCCGCAGAAGGAACTGAATATTTTCAACTCTTCCCTCTCTCACCCTCAATGACAAAATCCTTCCTGAAGCTGACCATTGTAGATGGTGGGGACTTTTCTCTTAGAGAGAAAATAATCAGGTAGACACATTCTCCCCAAGGTCTGAATGGCTGTCGTTCTTTCTCTACTCCTCTGCTCTCAAAATGGAAAATCAAATTCCAAAAAGGAGTTTGCCTAACTTACATGAAAAGCGCAATAACGGTGGATCTCTAGACCAGATAAGGTAGGACTTTGTAGGGCATAGTAGAGATTGTGTGTGTGTGTGTGTGTGTGTGTGTGTGTGTGTGTGTGTGTTCTTTAACGTGTGATGTGGAGTCTTGGAGGGTTTTGAGTCATAACAAGGGCTGACATCAAAAATCCTTCTGGCTGTTGTATGACTTCTCCCTGCTGGTCCCTAACAGGTGGCGATGGCTAAAAGGAGACAGATGAGCTCAGAGTGGGAGTTGGGGTGCGGGGGCACTGAGATAGTGACGGAGACGTGTGGGGGAGGCAGGCTGTTTCTGGGCAGACTGTACCCGTGGGCAGCCGAGGGCACCTGGAAGCAACCTAGTTGATCATGTCCTAGCTGACGAGAGCGAGCAGAAGAGTCTAGAGCTCTCATCCCCTGGCTCGTCACCTCTGGAGACCCCGGACGACTCCTTGGGCTTCGCCAAGCCATGACGCTGTTCATGCTCACTGTGGTCGTGCTGGTGCTCTTGTCCCAGGCCGTCCCAGGTAATCAGGGCCTCTCCGGGGCAGGGTGGGGGGCAGAGGGGCACTCTGGGGCCCGGGAGGATGGACTGGTAAGTGGCAATGTGTAACACCACTTATCTGGGGAAGAAGAGCCCCCAGGTACTGGGTTCAACCCTGCCTCGTCATTTATTAGCTCTGTGATGTCCCCAGAAAATGATGTGGCTCCAGTTGGTTTCAATGCACTCCTTTGTCCATTTGAAATAAAAAACCAGGTTGTGGAATCAACATGAGCACGCTGGAATTTTGGTGTGTAACAAATGCAGTTGCTTTATTTTTTAAGCCCACTGAAGAGGGGTCCTGGCACTCAGACAGCCATCCTTGCCAGGAACAGGTGGCAGCTCTTAGGAACCAGCGGTAACCCCCAGACTGTTCCCTCAACCACCCTCTAGGACCCCGCTTCTTTGGTCAGCTCCAGGCATTGGGGACAGGAGGTCTGTTGCTGGAGGAGGCATGGGGCCGGGCAGGGGAAACAGGAAGGTGTGGAGGCACAGTGACCCTTTCTGCCGGAGGTTGCTGGAGTCACTTGGATTTTGCACTATTCCCAGCTGCCTTAGGGCAGCCTGCAGTACCAGTCCCTGCGCCAAAGCCACGGAACAGCTTTAAGTAGAGAAGGGCCCTCATCAAACTTGCCTAGGCCAAGGTGCCAGCACCATCCCCTCTCCAGAGAGGAGCTTGCTCCCTCCCCCGGCCGTCCCTCCGTGCCCCCAGCATCTCTCTAACCTTCACAGGCCAGGATGTGAGTGGATTGCTTGGGACCACTGCCTCACACCTTGTGCCAGACACAGGCATGAAACACCACCATCCACCTCCAAACCTGGGGTTAGAACCCGCTCCATCAGTTTTTAGCTCTGTGGCACCTGACAAGCCATTTGGCTGCTCTGGGTTCCAGTGTACTCATTTCTCAAAGAGGTAATATGCAAATTGACATTCACTCCAGTACACAAGATGGCTGCCCCCATGTGGACACAAGATGGCCGCCACAAGATGGCCAGCAGGGGAGGGCAATTGTGAGGGACCAGGCCTAAAGGGGAGGGCAGTTGGGTGGGGGGACCAGGCCTGCAGGGGAGGACAGTTGGGAAGGACTAGGCCTGCAGGGGAAGGCAGTTGGGGGGGGGGGGGACCAGGCTGGCATAGGAGGCAGTTGGGGGTATTCAGGCCAGCAGAGGAGCAGTTAGGGGTCAATCAGGCTGGCAGAGGAGTGGTTAGGGGGTGATCAGGCTGGCAGGAATAAGTG